AAAAATTACAAATACACAAACTTTAAAAACATTAATTATGAAAATATCACATACATTTTCCTTTTTAAAACATTTTGCACGAAGACTGCAGCGAAATTAAAGCATCATTTTTGTGTTTTCAATTTTAAAGTCTAACATTTAAGAACGTAATAAATTAAAACGTCAACAGGTATTCGTTTGATCAATAAACACTACTTATTTTGTGATAAAATTTACGTACATTAGTCATACTAATTTTGTGTGCGCTTTATTTTCGAAATCTGATTAAAACTGTGATATGAAATTTAATTTTTTAATATTAATGTATCAAAAATATGTAGTACGAAATAATATAAAAGACTAGCTTGTGTTCACCTGTTGAAATTTCAATTATTGATCTTGCTTTATATGTATTACAAATTAAGAGTACACAAAAGCTGCTGCCCAGTGGTAGAGATAAGCTTTTTAATTTGATTAGCGTGCATAGTTTCTTTGCAGATGGTTATATAGGTTCCATAATTTTGAATTTCGTTCAGCATTGGACCAATATTACTTGCTAAATCGTCAGAACCTATGGTCTCTTCAGTGACTGTTGTCACATCTTCATTTTGTCCTTTTTCTCCAAAGTGCTGAGTCGTTACTGGCTGAGGAAACACCTGAAAGAGCTGTTCTAAGTTCATGGTCGTTGCCACATAAGTTAAGACTTCTGAAAGCAAAAAAATTGTATAATAATCTACTTGAAATAAGATTACGTATTTGATTACCTTTTAATAGTTGCTTATAAAAATCGCATTCTTTAGTAAATTCTTCGTCTAAACTCAGTTGAATGATCTTCCTTTGTATGGTGGCAATCAGGAGTTTCCATTCGTCAGTTTTATTAAAATGATCTTTTCCGTATTGGAGTAAACACTCTGGACATCCGTTAATGAGTCTGACAACAGCTTCGTTCACTGGCATCGTTATGATCTTAAGACTTTCGTGACCTATGAGATTCTTGTTGAGGTCTAAAAAAACACTGATTTCGTTAATAACGTTCTTCGGTACGATCTGACTGCATAAAATTGCCTGTAACTTCTTCAATACTTTTTTAGCTTCTTCGTTGACTTCCTCATCTTCGGTTTTCGTCAAAAAAGGTGACATCTTGTCCAAATATTCGTGTCTTAATTGGGAAAATAAATAATTTTCTGGTGGTTTTGGTCTTGGCCTGTCTTCAAAATGAGTTATATTGACGTTGTTGTACTTGAAGGAATCTTTTTCAGTCGCTATTTCTTCCGTTTCGTCATTTTCATTGGGGTCCCCCTGCATACTCGCAGTTTCCTGATTTTTGGTGGTTCTGAGATGAAGAATTTGGAGTTGCGACAGGTACGACCTTACTAGGATTGTGATGGCTTCTTGGGTCGAACGGTCATATACAATTTTTGGTAATTCTTTGGTCTCGTAGCTTGCAAAGTAGGCCTTCAGGTACTGCTCCAAGACCATCTGGAGTACTTTACCGGCACACTGGGCTTCTTCCCCAGTTCGTGAAGGAAGATATTCGAGAAATAACTGCAATACAGATACAAAATTTAACGATAGATTTGTTTAAAACTTAATTATTTAATTATCACAAACCTTCAAGATTCTGTTCAAAGTGACGTTCCTCCTATCCAGAATCAAAGAAACTAAAACATCTGCTAATACTTCTGGATTCGAGGACATCATAAGGGTGGCTAGTTCAGACAGGGAAATTTTTCCTTTGTTTCTGTTCCCGTTGTTCCCCATGTCAAATAATAATTCCCAATTTTCTTCCAAAATAGTGTAAAGCTCTTCCCTATTCATGTCGCTCAGGACAACATCCGCTTCTTGAATGTTACACTGTTGGATGTAAAGTAATGCAAGAGCTAACGACTTCTCTTTAGAACCCTGAATTTTCCTGCAATGAAAAAGTTATTGATTAAAATATTTGATGATTTTAAAAACTAATATCTAAAACATTATTACTTGCCCTTTGTCTCTGCTGGTAAGTATGTTGATGAATTTAGACGTAGAGTATTCCCTGAGAGCACCGCTTTTCAGGACTAAATGGGGAATGTCATCGAAACTATGCTTTTCAAATAAATCCAGAATTTCATCTATAATGTTGTGCTTTATGCCCGACTTAATTAAATAATCTACGTCAGAACTACTTTTCAAATTCAACAGTGTAGTTTTGAAATAGTGGATTAGCCCTTTTGTAATCTATAAAAGACAAAAACATCTTTAAGAATTTTTAAGCAACCAGTCATTTAGTAATTTATTTACCTGAATGTTGGATTGTTCCTGGAGCTTTTTCACGCGTTTAAGGACTTCAAAGGGCTTTAGTCCAGCCATTTTATAATATGGAATGCACAACACGTACTTAGGGCTCCTGTAAGACACGTACAAAATAAATTAACAAAAACAGGTAAAAATAACAACAACAAACTGTCATATGCACTATAATTTGGACTTACAAGATATAGTGGTCTCCCAGAAGAGCACATGAAGTCCTATAGGTCTCTCCCAGCTCCTCCCAAAGCTTTTTAGAAGGTTCAGCAAGGCATACTGATTTAGAAGATGAGAAATTCCACCTAATTAACAACAGACTGTTCCTCAAGATCATATGGGCTTCGCTCATAACATGACAATAGGTTTGAGGAGAGGCAAACTGGTGGGAATTTGCAACGATGGAGATGTCGTCAAAAATGGTCTTTGCAGATGGTAATTCGAGAGTATACAAAGTCCAAGCAGAAATTGTAGAACCGCTAAAAAGGGATAAAAGAAACTAATACTAGATTATTAATAAATTAGTAAATTAAAAAAGTACCTGCTGTTCGAGCCCACAGAATGAGTGGGAGAATTATCAGCATTCGCCAGAAGAACTAGGAAATTTTCGGAAAGCAACATTTTTTCTATTCCCAGAAATGGCCTAAGGCCTACCATGCAAATACAGTCGTCTACAGAGGGACACGCCTATAAACAGAGGAGATTAACCAACAAAACAGAAAACAACAGTTTAAACCCCTAAATGTTATAAAAATTACTTAAACCTTACCACATTTATATTATCCACGACTTCCAGGCTTCTGCAAAGCTGGTGGCCAGTTCTGAGGGTGTACGATTCCAACCCCGTTTCGGTCAAGGCGTGCAAAAGATAATCTTCCATTACGATACTATATACGGGGGCAGTAAACGGATAAACGCAAATACAGTTGTCTTTATCCAATGATGAATCTAAAAAAAAAGAAAAAATATACACAATTGTTTAAATTGTGGTGTAACAGTCATCTTACCATCATCGTTGAAATGATATAAATAACCCTCCTGTTGGGTTGTTACCATGAACGCTACCCCTTTCAAATGTTGCCTGTAATTACTTCGAAAATAACTTTGGTGCGTTTTATCTGACGTTTTATCCACATTCTCGACGTAAAGGGGCTTCAAAACGATACATTTAAACTCTTCTACAATTTGATTTTGCGCGTTTTCAATCAGCAAAGGCCTAAGTTTTAGCTGAACTAGATTCACTGCATGACAATTTGGAATTCTCTTCTACAAACACAAAATGAAATAAATAAAGTTAATTAAAATTTTTGTATTTATTTGAATTTATTTAAAAATATTGACGATTAATCTAATTCTAAATGACGTAATGTTAATGTTTATAAAAAAATATTGTATTTACATCAATCATTGGTGAAGTTGATAGAATATTCACTCCCATGTCCCTGTCTGTATATGTGAAGGGGTTGTTTTTGTGTATTAGACTGTTACTTTTCAAAATACTTGGTAAATTAATCGTAATTCGATCTCTACTTTTAGTTGAAGATTCTTTTTCCAAAAGTTTTTTGTAATCCACTGTTACTGAGCTATCAAGACCTGCAACAAGCAAAAAACAAAAAATTACAAATAAAACCGAAAATTGCCTTTTAATAATAACTTACAATTTAAGCCAAATCCACAAGCAAGGGCGTCGTTTTGGTCTTCGTTATCTGTGCTATCATTCGAGACGATTTTGAACATATGTACGCTTTGTCTGCTAATGTAAGCGATGTAATTTTCGCAAATTGCAATTTCATTTGGTATAAAATTTAATTCAATTTGTATGGGACATTCTTCAAAATCAATAAACTTTAGTTTAGAAATGTCATGAGTTTTGATATGAAATAGTTGAACAGTTAGAGTATTGGCTGATAAAATTAGAATGTTACCAGACACCTGCAAAACAGAAAAAGAAAGTTTCGTTATAACTCTGTTAGAACAATAGTTATCAAAACTTGTAGGTATTATATCAGACTTATATATATATTTATAGACTTTATTGTAACTGTACATACCTGGCAGCAATCCACCAAGGTGGGGTTTTGACGAAGAGGAATCTCAATCATTTCTAAACTACCTAGTTCTGATTGGTTGGTGGTTGGAGTCACACGACCAGCAATGCGGGCTCTCATGGGTTGTACCATACCACATTCAGAAGAACCCAAGCTGACTCCACTACTGGTCATTTTAGATTGTTGTAGAGCAGCTACACTGTCCCAGTTGACATACACTCTCACACTGTTAGACTCTTTATACTGACGTGAAGTTTTTGACTCCAAAGTAACAATAAAATTACCTATAACATAGAAAGATGGAAATATTATGACAAAAACTAATTTATTTGACCAGACATACCGTTGATACAATGTTGAATTTGTCTAACATGATCAACTGTAGGAAATGTAAACAATAAGTCACCGTCACTTTTTAAGTCTCGCACTTCAACACAGTGGCTTGATAAAGCCAATAATAGACGATGAGGGGGTGCTACCGAACTAGCAGTGGGTTGTTCCACTGTTTGGATGTGCTGACTTGCAAAATTGTGAACCGAAATTACGTGAACCATGTTGAATGAATGATAAGTTGTTTGGAAGATTTGAGGTTAAGTATTAATTAAATTTACTTCGACATTATTTAGTTTGAAGAACACGTATAATAACACGCCTTACGAATTCTTTTTATACTGAGATTCTATCTTCTTTATAGAAGAAGGTGTGGTGCCCTAATTTCATATCGATTTTTTGTTTTATATTTTTAACAGGCACGTAATCTTTTATTTCTACCATATTGTCACTAGTTACACTTTGTCTACTACATTTTAGAAACAACCTTTATTCTTATTTACATGAATTATTTAGAGGCTTTTTAAAAGTTATAAACAAATTTGTTCACTTTTTGACGTTTGGCATTCAAATCTCTTTAAATTTTTTCATTTGAACTATTATGCGTGTTTCATTTGAACTACTGTGTAGTTGATATGCATCGCTCATACTACTATTGAATTCAAACAAAATATGGACAACTAGTGATAAAATCCTATTGAACTCATTACAAATAAATATAAATAATTTCTGCAATTAACGAAGCTGAAGATGATTAAAGAAATTACATACTAAACTACTTAATTTTAAATGTTCTGTTAAGGAAATGTTCAACTTTGAATTTATAAAACAAATTTAAACATTTCTTAAACAAATTCAAAATAAAAATAAAGTGCGGTATAAGCGATGATTTCCTGTTTAACTGATTTGACTTAGAATAATGGGGAATATAATGTTTATAAATTAGCTGCATTTAAATTGATGCATTTTTGGGATAACTTCTCGATTTTTAACTCAAAATAGTTAATCATCCGACAGTGACGAATGGCAGGAGATTAAATTATCAGAAATTGACTCAAATTTATACGATTTTTAAAGTTGCATTTATTCAAATCATTTATATGGAATTAACTTATTTTCACTCCTTCTCCAATACATGTACAAGTTTTTAAATTCATAGGAAACTTTTGGAAATTTAAATTTTAAATAAACGAATGTACTTGGTTGTTGATTTAGCTGTGATTTATAATTGCATACATACGCTGATGATGTAACATACGATAATTAAATTTGTTCGGTCAAATTAAGTACATATTTTTATGTTAGGATAGAATGCACGAGCTCTTAACAATCGATCGCTATATTATTCTGATTTTCAAGAAATAAGTTGATGACATGGCATGTCATTAATTTACCGAACGTTCATTTGAAAAGCAATAGGAATAAATAAATAGCGAAACGGAATTTGAAAATAAAATTACTCAATCGACATGGATGCAACTTAAATTTATTTAAATTGGTATCTATTTCTGGTCGAAAAAGTATATACGCATTTAAATGTGACACGTTTTCATGTTAAGCGAATAAAAACTAAGAACCCCATACAGTTACTGGAGTTGTCATTCGTAACAACAAAAATAATTCAATTCGAACGGATATACCCCTAAAGTAAACATAAATTTCTTACGGTTTTCTTGTAACTTTAGGTAGTAAAATAGACCGAAATTTAGTAAAGTAATATAGCCTTCTGTGGTGGGGCTTATTAACTCTAATAAGTATTTCATTTAGGAGTTTTAAACTTTTTAATATATACGTAAATCGAATTCATCAGAATATTAAGCCGTGCAGAGGGTCAAAAAATGATTGCAACTCCCACAAGCGGTGATAAATATACTTAATTAGGTTAATTTAAGACAAATAAAGACATAAGTTTGTATATTTATAATTGATTTTGGTTTGGAAGATCTAGCAATGTTAGTGATCACCGTCCGTCCTTCCCTCAAAAGACACCCCTTCAAATAATCCCTAAAATGTGAATTTTTACTAATCGTTTTTGATTTTCTTATAAACAACCACTAATTATTATTGTTTGTTCATGCGTATTGTTCATACACACCATATCTACTAAGTTACTCACTGCCAGTGTGTTGTTGCTTGATTCAAGTATTATTTTGATCGATAATACAAGTCATTAGCGCAATGGAAAACAATAGGATTAGTGTTTATGCGAATCTTTGCAAAAAAACATGCAACTGAAAAATAATAAATTTTCGCGGCGTCGTGAATATTGTAAACTGTTATTGTATGATTTCACCTACTGTGACTAACAATAGCAATTTCACCGTTTCAAATTAATCAGTTCCGCGAAATTTATTTTATTTTTAAAAAAACTTAACTTCGCTAATTGCCTAGGCGCCTGTGACAATGTTTCAAAGTAAACGTAAATTACTTAAACATGTAATCATTGTAAACACACACAGAGTGTTCAATAAATAAAACGTATAAAATTAAGTAAATTAACTGTCTATTTATCGCCTCGCATTCGTAAAAAATTGCTGTAAACTATATAAAAATAACATTAATCGTTTATCAATAACATTAATAAACTGTGTAAAACTTAATACCTGTTAATTTGTTAACGTGAATTTTATTTAATTTTTTATATATTTTCTCCTAAGTTACAATGTTACAAGTCCGCAAATTTCTCTCTTGGCGGCCCGTAGTCGTTGGGCCGCGAGCGCGTCTATTGAAACGAATCTTCGGTGAACATACCTAACTTTAAGCATCAATTTGTATTAGATTTAACGTTTTAATGAAGTGCAGCATTAAAAATAGGTAATATAGAAGGTATTTGGCACTTAATAAACAAAATTAGAGAACAAATTTAGATTTTAGTTCAGCCTTTGCAACAAAAAAGAAAGAAAACTAATTGAATACTTTTAAAGCAATACAAACTTCGGAAAACATTTTCCAGTTTTCCACGACTTATATTTACAAATAGTAGAGCGTTGCTTTTAAAATCAGAAAATATATCATATATAATTAATTTCAAGTAATTAATTTCTATACATGCACATGTATAAAAATTGAATTGTCTATCTGCAACATTGACGTAACTGTTTTTTAAGCTTATGTGGTTATTTGTATGCTGTTAAGACATAACTTTTAAAAAAAATTGTCAGTTTGTTTGAATGGACTTCTCAGTGCTTTACCGAAAGAATTCCCTGTAATTGGTAGGGTAATAACGGCACCATCGTACCTTAGATACCTTAGGGTGGTTATGATTGACTAATTAATGTACCTATATGTGTATTATACAATAATAAGGTATACATATACATTAAGTGTGTGTGTGTGTGTGTGTGTACGTTTAGTAAGTAGTTGAGATTGGAGTGAAGTTTACAATATGCTCTCTCGACGGCGGACATGGAGTCCGTCCGTGCGACTGTAGACGATATAAGACGGCGCACAAAACCCGGACCTCTCAGTGTTCATTTTCATGTCTCTGCGAAGGAGTCGGTGAAATATTCATCGGAACAGAGCGATCGACGACGACGTCAAAACGCGCGAACCCCCCCAAAAGACGTCCCCGGGTGGCTCTGGTTTTGAAGTGTTTAAAAAAATTAATAACAATCGAAATTCGAAGTGCTAAAAAGGAAACAAAGTTGTGATTTTTTCTTTGGCGACTTCTCCAACAGCCCCCCATCGTTCAGGAGACGGTACGAAAAAACTTTTTTACGTTTTATTTTCTTGCCTGCCTGCCTTGTCTTGACTAATTTTGGACGGGGGTTCCCGGAACTTTTCATAAACTTTGACGTGTGCTTTTCAACTGTTGTTCTTCCAAAAATGGAAGTCGAGATGTCAGTTGCGAAACCGTTTGGCTTTGAAAAGACGCGTTTTGGCCACGATTGCCAGTAACCTGAAAAGTTCGAGAAGTCGACCAGGATGGTCGAAACTGTTCCCAGCACGTCCCTTCTGCGTCCCATGAACGCTCCAATTGTTACGTCAACGTGTAGCGCGATGTTTTCCGAATCGTTTCTCTTCCTTCGACAAAACAACCCCTTGTCGCGACTGGCGGTGCAACGGCGACTACGTAAAACTCATCACCACAATAACAGTACAATTTTGTGGCATCATACGGTGATTGTGATGATAGTGTTGGTGTCGACGGTATTGCCCATTTCATGCGACCGATTTACGAACAGATCTACCAATAGTATAGATAGCAAAAAGAGTAAACATTTTAGTGAATTCGAAGAGATAACGGCGAGTCCGGGTTGTGGCTCCTGTCGGGTGCGCGAAGAGATGAAAAACCGGAGCATACAAGCCATCAAAGATAACGTATTGCAAAAATTGGGTTTATCGAAGGCGCCAAATGTCACCACCAAGTCCATACCCGCTCATCTTTTGGCACTCATCGACCAGGGTTACGTCGATATACAGGGCGATGCGCCCTTTCAACCGGGACCGTTCGTTAGCGAGGAAGAAGATAATTATCACGTTCGCACCGAGAAAGTTGTCACCTTTTCACAACCATGTAAGTATTATTTGTTTCACAAGAAGCAGTCCCATACCAAATATGTCTTTAAAAAGAACGAATACGAGTTTTTCTAACTACGGTAACGGACCGACGACATATATTTAAGTATGTAAGATAACTTCACGTGTGTGCGTATTTAGCTACTTGAAATAGCTCCCTGCCCGTGTTACAGAGGGTCCTTGTAAAATTACACGTACTTACTGAAATAAACGAATTTCACTTGAATTGGTTTGCTTACTCAATTCATACAGAGCGTTCTACTTTTGTACTGTAATTTACGTAATTATTTCTGATTTTTTATTTATTTTAAAGAGGTACCCTAAGATATAAAAAGCGCCTATATTTCTATCGAAGTATCGATTCGTACCTTACGTTAGTCAATCAGTTGCAATCGATTTTCTATCGATTAGCCGCTAATACAATCATATGTAGTAGATGATAATCATACATGATTAATTATATTAGTTGTCATTTAGTTAATTAAGTTAGCATGAGTTTCTAATATTTCAATTAATTTATGATATTACTTTAAACACTTTATATCTTCAGTTTAGGTGACTCTTGCGTTTCGTAGCTAATGAACAATTAAAAGTTAAAATTATCACTCGGTCCCAGTAGGGGATTCTATGACATTAATTCTTCCTCTAATCGTAAGTGTGTAAGTAGTAAGAAATTCCTTATTTTTTTAAAAAAATTGAAACGTTAAAATCTACTATAAAGTTTGGGTAAGCTTCCAGAAATCCTGTTCTGTCTTTTGTTTTGTTTAACACATATTTTTGGAAGTATATCATAGGGATGATTCATATCATCATCATCATAAGGTTGTCAGTCCTAAGACTCTTTCCTATACTGAGCTAATCTTCGTATTTCCTAAAACTAGAACATCCGGCATTCTTAACTATTTCCGAACAGTAATCTAATCTAGATCTATCTCTACTCCTCTTAACTCCTGTTTCTGCCTCTATCATGTCTCTGACTAGGGCCCTTCATGTCTGAGAAGGTGTTCTACTAACCCAAATCACCTATTTCTTATTGACTTCCATAGAGTCTTGTGTGATCCATATAAGGGAAGGAATTACAGCATTCCCTCTCTGGTACGAATTGCCATCTCTAGAAATGGGGTGGTGTACTTTCTTCTCGATGCCTGTATATAATTTTTTATCATACCTTCGTCCAATATGAGCGATTCTTCCCGATTTCAGAGAAGAGATATCTTCCTAGGTTATAGATCGCAAGAAAATTGCCCCAGAGTCGAAAGTGGGGGTAGAAATCACGTGGCGGAAAATACTTTCATAATAACAATTAAATGTAATTTTTTTACCAGGGAGGTAATTTTATGATTTCATCCCTGAAATCCGGGAAACACTTACGAAATATACTTATTTTTCAAATTTTCCAAAAATTTTCATAGAAATATTTTTCAAAATAATTGGTAATATTCGTTCAGAAAAATGTTCTTACGAATGCATGACACAAATTTTTAAAACTGGATAAAATTTTCACGAATTATTCATAAATTTATCTGCAAAATTTGGAAATGCATTATACAAAACAATTTAAAGGCAATCACGTTTCAAATTTTGAATTTAATGAGAATTCTTATATATAGTTGTAGCATTTGCTCTGAAAATTTACGAAAAAACAACTTATATATTAAATATTTTGGATTATTTTTATGTTTAAAAATTTTCTGCGATTTTATTAGTAGTAATTTTTAAAGTTTAAGCACAAGTAATCGCTTAAGTTATCGAGCAATGCTCTTAATCTATAAAGTGATACTGTTTATGAATTATCAAATAGTTTCAGTTTTTATCAATTTCTTGATTATGTTCACTTTTGGCTCTAACTACAATAAGTACATATATACATCCATATGCTTTAGAATAATCGATGTATTTTAACTATTTTAGTATTTTTTTAACGATTGATATATTTTCTTTTCGAATTCATCTCGTAAAGAGCCAAAATATCAGAAATGTTATTTTGCACGTATCTCATTCTGTTTTAACCCAGCCTTTATCACTATCATTAGATTAGTAAGTGCCCTCCTGATACACGCGGGTACACGATTACATTTTCTAATTTTTTTTTTTGGTACTTTAACGTCATTACATAAAACGCCGACTATGCATTACTAAGTGCTATGATAAAATTAAAAGTTAACACAGTTGGGTCAAGCACCACGACTCCCGATAAAACAATACGAACGTATTAATGTATTTTTATAATAATTTTTTAATCACGTAATGAGTACTAATTATGTACTTTTATCTCCACGAGAAGGTAAAACCAAGCCGAGGGTTCGAGCACAATAATTAACCATTGTATAACATCGTTTTTTTTTTTGGTGTTTAATCTTATTTTTACTGCTCTGGTGCATGTGTATATCTCCTTCTCTTTCTCATCTGTGTCACTACATATGCATAGACATGCGAGGGGGACACATCAACTGGGCCTAACTCACAGCAAGTTATTTCAAAATTTACTCTGATAAATAATCATTTATTATTATTTGAATGTTTTGGACACTAGAAATAATTTTTATTTTATTTTGTGTCGAACTGTCAGAGATCAAGACGTTTTTTTTTTTCTGAAAATTTGAATGTATTTTTTACAAAAATGATACTGAGGCCCAGTTTACATTCATGAACAGGCCCAAGAAGGATGAATTGTTTAATTGTAACAGAGATTAACTACACAACACCAATAAAAAAGTTTACAAACTATTAAGGAATAGGCAGAGCGACATTGTTTCAATTAAATGTTTTTGAAAATAAAAAACCCTAGAATTTATATACGAAAATCAAAATGTGTTTGTGTTTATTTATCAAACTATTAAAAACCTGTAAGCTCTACAGAGATATAAAAATATCTGTGGGTAGGTTTGGGTAAATTACAAAACTTTTGGTGTGTTTTACTGCAATTTAATATAATTTTTCGATAATTTAGGGACCAGCGACGAGTCTGAATTTTTTAAATTTTTATTTTGTGTAAATGTGTTCTTGAAGCCTATGTATTAAGACGTTTATAACAGACATCAATATATCTTTTGTTGTAGATACCAAAATTGAAATGTAGTAAAAAACTTTCGAAGTGAAATTACTGTTTTCATAATAATCCTGAAATATTTCTCGAAAAGATAATACAATTTGTTTCATAAATTTTCCTTAATATAATAACTTCCTGTCAATCAAGGGTAGATTGACAAATGTAATTATCTACTGACACGGAATAGTTGTAAAATTTTGTAAATTAAGTGACTAGCCAATTAAAAATTCTAAAATAATAATAGCTACAGGAAATATCTTGTTTGAACACGAAATATTTGTACAAGAAATGTGTGAGCAGTCTAAATTCTTGCACCCCAATGTAACTGATGTGTAAACAATTATGCATTATCAGTTAACAATTGTACTAGATACTGTCTGTTCTGTTATCAGTTCAAATGCTAAATTGATTCTAACTGTAATAAACACCAAGGGTTACAGATAACTACGTGCCATTTTAACCAATTAGAATTTATATTTCCACGGTTTGTTTATATTTAATGCACAACTACAAAATAAGGGTTGTTTTTGGGATAAATAAGAACACAAACTGAAAAATACTGTTATTATTGTAACATGTATTTTCAATAATAAATTGTTGATTGACTATTTGTAGACATTTACGGGGTGTTTGCATAAAATTTTCTTATGTATTTTTGAAAATTAAATTTAGAGTTTAATTATTTCTTAATTAGTGTTATACGCACAGTGTAAAAATTAAAAGGAATTAACGCGTTAGTAGTTACGAACATTTCTAACGTTCGATAATTGAAAAGTTCGCGATAATACTACTACACATATATATTTTATTATCTGCAGATTTTTTTTGCGCAAGATATATCACCAACTGCGTAAGTTTTTGACATTACGGAGGGATACACTTGCGATTAGATATGACATGCGATTTGGCACGCGACTTCTTTGAATTCTTACAAAATTGAAAGATAAAGATTTTCGCTAAAACTAGGTCATTCCTATAGTCATACAGATGTACATCATACACTATAATATTTAGCTGTTTCTTCTTCAATTTTCGTTTCTCTAAATACATTCAAAAAGCAAACGTACCATTTTATTATATCGGGTTGTTCGGAAAGTCATTTCGTTTTTTCCCGACAGAGGATTTAATTGTATTCTTTTGCACCCAACTTCACATTTAAGTCGTATAATTTTTATATGCTTTGAGAGCTCATATAGCAAGGCTTGTGTGTGAAAAATTCCAATTAATTCTACGCAGTAGTTTTTGGTTGGTGCCCTTTTAAATATGGAGAGCGATAAGCAGCATTTTCGACATATCTTACTGTTTTACTACAGAAAGGGTAAAAATGCTGTTCAAGCCAGAAAGAAATTGACTGATGTGTATGGAGAAGGTCTGTGATTCGCTTTTCAAACGTCACGAAAATGATCCGTTTTTGAAGCGCATCATCACTGGGGATGAAAAATGGGTTGTATACAACAACGTCAAACGTAAGAGGTCATGGAGCAAAAAAGATGAACCGGCTCAAACCATTTCCAAAGCCGATATTCACCAAAAAAAAGGTGATGCTGTCTGTTTGGTGGGATTTTAAAGGAATCGTTTTTTTTTGAGCTTTTACCGGATAACACAACGATTAATTCGGAAGTCTACTGTCATCAGGTAGACAAACTGAATGATGCACTTCAACAGAAAAGGTCAGAACTAATCAACAGGAAAGGTGTAGTGTTTCACCAAGACAACGCGAGACCTCAAACAAGTTTGGTCACTCGCCAAAAGCTTTTACAGCTTGAATGGGATACAATGCTACACCCACCATATTCTCCAGACCTGGCACCATCGGATTATTATTTGTTCCGGTCACTCCAAAATTTTTTAGACGGTAAAACCTTCACCTCAAATGAGGAGGTCAAAAACCTCCTCGATCAGTTTTTCGCCAGCAAAGACCAAAAATTTTATGAGCGTGGAATTATGCT